TCATTAATGTTATATATATTATGCTCAGCACAAATAATGTATCAGATTCTTCATTTCATATATAACACGTGTTTGCAATTCCAGGACGTATTCTTTATTGCTGGTTGGTAAAAAGCATTATGAAAATCACGGCATCAATGTAAATCTTAAACTGGCCTTATGTGTAAGATGGTCTTCATTGTAGACAGACATTGCTCCGCAAGATTTTAGTTTTGCTAAGACTACTAACGTTAGAACTATAATAATTTAAAACTCTGTAAAATGTATACAAGTAAGAAGATAAAATTGTTTTTTGTGAGAATTAATTCCTAGAAATTCGCATAAATTAGCATGCAAATTTATAAAACTACATCAGAAACACTTAGTAGAATTATTCGTAGCGGTTTATAAGTCATCAAATTTTACCAATATACGCTAAAAGAAAGAGCATTTTGAAGTTCAAAAGATGGCTTAATGGAATAAAGACTCAATCTCAACTTGGGGCAAAATTTATAACTCAAAAATGCAAATTCGGTAATATGTGCTCCGATGAAGATTCCACCTTAAAGAAACGCATTTCCTTATATCTTGAGCTTCAAAAGTCATTTTCAATGTTTAATAGCTAGTTGCTTTTTTTAAAAAAAATTAAGTCATGTGCCCATGAAAGCGCAGGTAATCCTATGCGTATGACGTAAAAACTAGTATTCGGGTAAAATGTATCAGAAGATACAAAATCATAGAACATGCAGTTTTGGAAATTAACAAATAAGAAAATTCTAACGTTTATAATAATATGGAATAATTATGTAATTTCATCTGAAAACTTCAAAACGGGATAAAGTTAAAATTGTAATTTATTTTCAGTTTATTACTGTTCAGGTAATAAACTGAAATTAATAAATTTTTTAACTATAAGAAGTATTAATTATTATAACTATTATTATTTTAACTATTAATCACGAAATATAACGCTTTTATGGCTAAGAAATAAGGTTCTTGCATCAAACGATTCCGAAACAACAAGTCATTATAAATTACGAGAAATTAGTATTACTATTTCAATATAACAGGCAACTTCTAAATGACTGGACGATTTTAATACCTGAATAGTATCAAAAGATTTCAGTTATTAAATACTAATTTATTTTTTACATGCAAAACACAAGCACTTTTTATCATACCATATTAAAGCATAACTGAAAGAAAAGGGTTAAAAATATTTAAAAGTATCGTTAATACCTTACTTATTATAGATACAAAAATTCGGCAAAAGAACTTTTAACAAAGGAAAATTTAACTTTTTTGGTTGCTTGACTTCTAATTTAATAAATTACAACCTGCTATCTATTACCGCCTGTAACAGATAGCAAACTAGTAATATTAATTACGGATCCAGCATGGATGTTTTTCGTCAAGAATTTGGGAAATGTAAGTAGTACGTTTACGTTGTATATTTGTGTTTAGCAAATTACGAGATTGTTTACAACTTTGTCTCATAAAGAATAGCGCAGAATAAGAATTGCCTGAGATAGATCCTACAACCGGTCATGGAGGGGGGGGGGAGGGCTACAGGGCTGAATCATTTCAACTAATCCCACGGAAGTTTGACGACAGTATTGATTATTATTAACTCATTTTACATTTTTTAAAATGATGCTCCTTTGCGAAAATAAATCAAAAGAGAATTTTTAACTGATTTTAAGTAGTCATTATTTGCTATTTGGATTCAAAGATGAATAGCGAGAAGTTTATGGGAAAAAAGCCTTTCTTCGGGGGGGGGACTTTTCTCCCCTCAAATGCAACTATCGTTAAGCAGGTATTGCGAAGAAATATGTAAGCATAACGCAAGAATTAAAGACTATGTTAAAACAGCTGACTGCATTTAAGTCGTCTTTATAGATGGATAGTGTGCAGATGTGCGTTATGGGAAAGCGCTTTGATATTTGTACATACAATTAATCTAAAACTAAATAAAAAGAGAAATTAAATCCTCACATTTAATCGAAGAACGCTAATAAACATAACATTAAGCACATTAATACTTAAAGTATTTATAAAAAGAAGAAAATGCCTCACACTTGGAGTTTTCCAGAAAGAAGAACAATTTCAGCATTTTTACTTAGGGCTGAGTCATTTGAGCGACTGTTCTACTAATTTCAAACGCATATTTTAATTTCCAACTTATGATAACTTATTACAGTATGTTATCTTCTCCTAAACCTTGTTTTTCTCAGAACTAAAAAGCAGTTCAATGTTACATTAACAAGTTATTAGACAAAAAGGGCAGTAGCCTGAATGAGATAAGTCTGGAAAGTCGTAGAAGGCGAATCTCCTTTTAAATTGTTGCCGCCAAATAATATCGCCCTGTATTATCTTTAAAGAAATTAAATAAGTAACTGCATGTATGTATGTGTGTTCTTCGCAATGTGCAAAAAACGACGGTACCAACAGTATTAAATTTTGAATAACGTTGTCATCCACCTGAACATACGCATCTGGAAGCTCTAATTTTGAATTTCAAATTTTGTAAAACTCTAGTGAATTTCTGATTAACAAACTCAACTATTTCAAAAGCGAGCAATGGCAACACTATACGGAAAGGAAAAAAAAAAAAAAAAAAAAAAGTCCCCGGTGCGCGAAACTATCGGAAAATTCTGAAGATATGTCGTTTTTAAATATTTTGTGATTTTGCAGTTGAATTTAAATTTAAGTGACAGAAGTTCGAACAACGTGATATCTAATAAATAAAGTTAACGTATGTCATCATTTAACACTGCATTGGGAAATATAAACGGATGCCGCTTTTAAATTTTTTGTAATTTTGCTGTTGAATTGCATATGGTAAAGAAAAGGGTGCTTAATAATAAAGCTAGCAAGTGAGTGAAACAACAGACTGGTAGACTGCGAGCTCAACGAAAGAGTAAAAAACTTTTTAACAAAATCTTTTCGGGTGATCGCTAAAATCTGAACTCTCAGATTTTTTTTTTTTTTTTTTTTTTTTTTTTCGTTTTTTATTTTTCAAGTTATTGTAAATAATAAGAGGAGCTAATGCAATAACACCAAAAAATATTACTTTCTCGGCAACTGGCATGATTACTGAATATCTATCAGCATTCGGCGAGATTACATTTGGTAGCGATTGAAATATCAGCTTAACGTATACTCAAGAACATGCCAGTTTTATCAAATGCAGATAATTTACAGTAAAGACAGTGATTTACATAAAATCAGTTTCATGTAAACGACTGATACCGATGAGAAGCTCCCGTTACTTTAAACTCGACAAACTGATAAAAGTTATGATGCGTTGACTTAAGTAAGTTCTGCTGTGAATAAATAGACTTTTGCGTCACAAATAACATAAAACAGATCTAATTTAGTGAGTGAAAAGAAAAAAATGAAACTTAAATGCCGTAAAAATTTGAAAGCCAGAAATGCCAAAGTTTTGCTTAATATGTGATTATGTTGTTGGAATGTAATGAAAATTAAATTCATAAGATCTTCTAAAAATAGAATCAGGTAATACATTTTTGTTAAATCTATGAATTTAGAATAGCATAATTAGTGTGCCCATGTCACGAAAAGCATATTTTGCAATTACAATTCGCCCTTCTTTAACATTTTAATACTTAAAACAGGTTTTCCGAACCGAGTTCATATTCAATATATAAATTTTAAATTCCTATTAATAATAGCTCACAAAATAGTTCAAATCGAAAAAAAAAAAAAAAAAAAAAAAAAAAACTTAATCTAGTTGAAATGTTTTCCTTTATAATAATAATAATAATTTCGTCAAAAGGACTAAAATATATAAAATAAATTAAATATATGACCTAATATTTACATTGTATTAAAAATAAATCAATACGATGAAAAAAATTACATAAATGAATAAATTAGCAAACAATAAAGCAATCCTTGACGTGCGTATGAAATTTAGGCAGCAACAGGATATCTTATTTCTTTACTCTGAATTAGTAATCAAGAATTATTAAAATCCTTTTCAATGCTTATTATCTGAAACTAATACTATTAGACAGCATATAATAGATCCATTCCACCTATATTAAATAAACAGAAATTGGAAGTGAGAGTACTTCTCTAAAACGTATACATGAAATATTACTGAAGGACAGATTAAAAGAATTTCAGAAAGTGTCAAAGATATAGGAAAGAAACCTACGCCGTCTAAATTTCTTGAAATGAGGAATGAATCAGGATAAATTCATCGAGCAAAAGTTTTATTATTAGCAAGTCAGAAACCATGTTTGATATAAAAATAACTAAAAGAAATATAAAACGATAGATTAAGCGAAATATGTAATCGTAATATCTCCAATCTTTGTTGATAATATGTATTACAGCAAGATTCCCAAGACTAACAGAAACCATAACTCATCAGAAATTCGGTAAAGCCAAATATTTGGGTAAACAAAACAATTATTTTTGGATTTAAAAGGCAGGGAAGAACAACAAGATTATTTTTCATTTGCGCGAAAACAAATTACAAAACATATTTCGAAATGACCAAAATTCAAGACATTTTTTATTGGCGTGAAATAATTAAATATAAAATTAACAATCTACTACGTATTATCAAATTTTTGTATTGACAGATTGTGACAAATTTATGATTTTCATAAAAAAACATTCAAATCAAAAGAAAAAGTATGAAATGTAAATATATTAGCAAACGGTTTAAAGTTTTGCCGAGAAAAAAGAATAAAAGATATACACAATTGAGATTTAGATATCTGGAGTTCGAAAAATAGATATTTTACGGTATTACAGGAGAAACTCTTCATTAGTTCTAATCTACCTCTCATAAAATTCAATAAAAATTTATTTTTAATTTTAAAAAATAAAAAGCATTAACTACAAAAACAAATAAAAACAACAGAGAACGATAAATTATTTTGAAGCATATAAGATATTCCTTTTAAATATCCTTCTCATATTTTTTAAGAAAACCTCGGAAAATGTTCTCTGTGTTGCGAATTTAATCAAGCAGAAATCCTTACCTTTAATGGAGCAATGATCCACAAATCTGATCGGACAATGTCCAGTTCTTCATAATCAATCGTTATCGATTAATCGGAACCTGGTCTTGAGCCAGACGGATCTCCATGATAGCACGTGGGCGATTACGATTAAAAAATACACAACAAAACTGCAACAGAAAGGGTCATCCAAAACTTTGGGTCAAACAGTAAACTGGACGCTCTGAGCGATGCACACCTCCTCTGAATTTCTATGTCGCTAAAAGTCTTCCGCTCATCTCACGTGCTTCATCGAGACTGGAGTAGGCACGCGCCACAGCAGACGACAGGACAACAGAAGGCTCGCGCGTTCTATGCGCGTGCGTCGGTTTCCTCCTCTCTTCCTAACCTCCCCCCTGAAACTCCCTCCATCCCTTTTTCTTCTCTCCTTGACACTTCTCTTGAGCGAGCATGCGTGTAAGAAACTACGAGCGGTAGATTCGAATTTTGACCCAAATAGAAGAGCCGGGCGTTCTTTTTTCCCTTCTTCATCTTTTTTTTTCCCAGCTTAGTTTCTTTCTTGAATGTAAAAGCAGCTGGAAGAGAGGGTAAAGGCAAAGTTTCTTTTTCTAATACCCCCCCCAACCAAGTCGGCGGTTCTTTTGTATTTTATTCGATATTGGTAGCCTGTATCTTTTTAAAATTTTTTGTTAGCTTTTTTTTAAAACACCATTTCGGTACGGTACACCCTCGTAATAGTCGACGCTCGTGACAGCACACCTCTCCCCCTCTTATTCTTGAAGAAAGAACAAAAGTTTATTCTGCTTCTCTTTTCCAAGCCAAGACTTTGAGGGATACCGGGAAGTACCGTTACTATTTCCTGTATTCATCCTGTTAAGTTGAGAAACTGTATACAAACAGAAGACAGGCATACAATGAATTATCCTAACACTTGTGACCAACAAACACATATTTTCTCGCACAAAATCTCTTAAAAATTACAGCTTTTACAATTATATATATTATATTAGTCAGGAAAGCACAGCAATTATATACAGTTGAACTTTTCTAAGCGAAAATTAACGGCAGAAATACTAATACAAATATAGCAACCGAAACTTAGAATTAACGACACTTGCTGTAAATAAGGGTTAACGGCAGCGACAATTCTAGGAACATACGCATACGCTGTCCAACCTCTGTTAAGGGCACCCCACTTTAGCGGATACTCTCCACTAAAAGACAGTTCTTGAGTCCTTGCTGTAGATTAAAAGACCTCTCTCATCCAGCGGCACTCCGTAATAACCTGGCAAAATCTTTGGCCATACAAGCATCGACTAACGGGAGATGCCATTATACTTACATTCAACATATCCGCATATTTTTACGTATATGCAATGTTGAAATGTAATTAAGATTCAAAACTTATTTGCTATAATTTTTGACTTATGTATTGTACGCGACATAACAGCAAATGAAATGATAAATTTAATATGATTAAAATTCAGAAACTTATTTATAATTAATTTTCGGCGTTTGTAGGATGCATCGCATAACAGCATGTAAAATTAACAAAAACATTTATGGTATGCAATCACGATTTTCAAACAGAATAGGGTGATATACATTCATTTTAAAGTAATAATGGAACTTAATGTATCTTTTCCTTTGTATCTAGGCAATCTTTCTCTTCCTTTCAAAAGTAGAAATATTACGTAATTAAGTATTTGTAATTATGTACTTATGTATTTGTATTAAGCTACAAGGACAACAAACAATTCCAAAATTTATTAAAGCATGGTGAGGGGAACAAGAAATTCTAGTCAACATTAAACGGTAAGTAAATTTTCCTGAAAGATACGCGGATGTGTAAGACATATAATAGTGAATAGGAAGGTTTTGAAATTAGGGTTTAAGAACATTCTAATTAATAATTTTTTAGCTATGCTTATGCACTTAGTTTTCGAGTGAAAAATAGACATTGCAAAAATTCCCTTCTGAATCCATTTTTATTGCATTTTAAAATCCGTTTTGGAAAAAACTAATCTTTTATTCTGTCCGTACGTACAGATGTAACGCGAAAAAAATCGTTCAAATGGATTCGAGAGCGACAAAATGGGTATTTTTGTTGAAATATAATAGCCGAAATTTTCGCGATTACAACACTTCGTACGAGGAAGTAAAAAGCATACCTTTAAATCGTCGACTTTGGAGATGTCGTCGACGCCAACAGTGCATACGAAAATAAAACAACATGCTACACAAGTGATGCTTACTAACAAATTACTTAAATTCAAATATGAAGTGATCACTACCATTTCAGTATGGGAAAAAAATAATTTTTTAGTTCTACGTGGGTGTGGTCTCTGTAAAATTTAAAAAAAAAAAACTTATTGGATTTGGATTTTTAGATAAAATTTAATTTAATATACCATATGATGCGTATAATAATTTTTGCACAAATTAGAATTAATAATTTCACATAAAATAACATAAGTAGTCACATATACAATACAAATTAGATTTTTCATATTAATATCACTAGATTTTTGTACAATTAGACAATCTTCATATCTAAAGTTGTGATAAAATTTATACAGCAACAGGGAACGAATTATTTTCTAATATCTTAAAAGAGGCTAAACACTATTATTTTAACAATCTGATTTGTAAATTCTTAGCCAGAGCTACTCTGTTCTAACCGCTAATACTCTTTCTCATATCAGTGTATATATATATAGGGCAACGTAGATAGACAGCCAAGGCAAAACCATAATTTGGTGTATATCGAGGTATTGTCGAACGGTGAGTGTAACATGTGTTCATCCATTGTCTTACTGAAAGGTGGCTTTAAGCTTCTCCTGAAGGCAAAAAGTGTTACATTAATACTTGTTGCCTTTTAAAGTAAAACTGACTAATCTGAGTGCCCAATAAGCATATAAAATATCACCAAGACTCGTATTCAGTCGCATCACATGTAATAATTCCCTATTCTGAATCAGTATGACGACGCACAGCGCAAGATTCCAATGAGCGTTTTTCACACTGGAGCAGTACGAACACACATGGTGATGATACATGAAGAAAAGGGATTCATTTGATAAGATGATGTCAAGCTACTTATTCGTTAACGTGCGTTTTTCAATGAACCACTGTATCTGAAACCCTTGACTATACTGGTAAAGGTAGCAATGGTAGCAATGGACAAATTTCATTCTTGAAGACGGATCCTCAGGCCTGCAGAGACGTCTTGCTGTGCCAATACCCGTGCTAAGATGCATAATGCGGCTGTATGGTCCATACAGGCTATTTGCACAAGATATTTTTCTTTTTCAACACTGATGTATCGAGGTCGTTGTGAGTACATGTCGCTCCGTCCGTCCTTACTTGATTTGTCGGTTTCATGTTCAAACACCAGTGACCGGATTTCGACAACATGGGCAGCAATTTGACAGTATGGTATAATTCGCAATCGCGGTAAGCTATTCTCTCGGGATTAAATTTGGCCACGTGCTGCTATGTTTTCCATCTACTAACTGAAGCATAATTTACATATAATGACACAAACAAGAAAGGAACACAATTTTTATATGGAAAACCGTTTTTCTCTTTCCTTGCCTTCTCATTTTCCTTCTTCCTTGACTTCTCTTTTTACTCTTATTCCATGTGGCGTTACAGGCGTCCATTATTTATATACGCGTTATATAGCTAATAATATTCATGTTCTGCTATGCTCTATGCGGGAAATTTTACGTTAATTCACTGTTTCTTCATGCGACTGCAATTTTAATGGCCAGGAATATACTTCAAAAGGAGTTAATAAGAAAATAATTATGGAATAGTATGTCAGATTAGGTCACTTTTTAAAATGAAAAGTAAGTATTCACAAAAGAGTCTAAGTATTGATTGACAAGAACTTAATCTGCTATGCAAGCAAAAGACTTACTATTCTTTAGTAAATTTGTCTAATTTGAAGTTGAGAAGAAAATGTTTTCCAAATTAGGAAACTGTGAAGATTTCTTTAAAAGTGAGGAAGACAAATTTTGTGACGAACATTTTATTAACAAACTCTCACGTGATAGAATTTCAAAACACATGATAAAATCGTCGATGAAAGATAATACGGCTTGTGCGTTAATCTTATCCAAAGCAAATATTATTAAAAGAATAAACGCGATGTGGAAAGGCCCTGGCGAAGACAAAACTACAGTTATTATAGATAAGAACACATGAAAGACCATTCTAATTTAAAATACTTAGAATAGTCATTAAAATTACGCAAATATTGTCACCTGCATCATATACGTTATTACATTACTCACCGTGTGGTTTCACATATGTGGTTTCTAAAATCATAAACAACTTTAAGAATAATTTTCGATGACTCTTCCAGTTCAACTAGTAGCCAACCATTATTAATAGGTACATTACTTAAAGCTCAGCTATGATTTATATACAGTTCAGCGAAATTTGTTTCGAATTTTTAGAACATATCGCTTTACCTTTAGTACTGGTATTTAATAAACTGTACATATTTAATGCCAAATTTAATGTACAGGGTGATTAAAAAATATCTCGCAAAAATATAGAAAATATAGGTAGGTGGAAAAGACCAAAATAAGCAGATTTTGTAATGGAATATGTGTGCGAAAATGGCACATTAAGGTGGTACAGGGAATTGTTGAGCAATAAGTAAAAGCCTTTTACTGCGTAAATCATCATTTCCCGTGTGTATTTCGAGGAGTATGCATCGCTATAAAAACGTAGAGCCCAACGGCGCTCATTTGACGTGTGGTACCGTTTCTAAAATGGAATAGCTATTCGAAGGAGGTATAAAAAACGATCTTTGGGTGCTTCCTTTGAGCAGCAGCTCCGTTTCCGTCCTATCTTCAACAATAAAATGCATATACATTCAATGCAGCTAAGCATGCGCTCGAAATCTGAATGAGAAATGATAATTTACGCAAGCAGAAATGCTTTTATCTACTCCCCAGCAGCGTCCTGCACCACCTCAATGCGTATATACACTTCATTACAAAATCTGTTTATTTCGGTCCTCTCTACCTGTCCTTAAATTTCTGCCAGATAGTTTTAAATGATCGTGTCTTTGAAAAAAAAAAAGCTTTGCTTCCGTACCTTTGTCGAATGAGTAAGCCTCCTACTCAGCCGACAGCCCACCAGCGGCCGAGCGGTAAAGACGCTGAACACTGGTAGTTCGGTCTGAGGTTCGAATCCCGCGAGCGGGCTGGCTGCATGGGCGTTTTCGTGGTTTTCCCCATGTGTA